CCCTCTGTCAGCCCCAATGGTCAGCGGTAAGTCCCCAAGGTGACCCTCTGTCGGTCAGGTTTCGGGTTCTAAAAATGGAGTCGTTTTTTGGCTCTGAAAATGGGGTCCAAATCAGTGTTCCCCCATTGTTCTGGTGAGAATCAACTCACCACTGTCTGTTGACACTAAATGCAGATCCTGAAAGCCGCACTTCGTCAACCACAATCTGGGTTCTCCTTTCTGCTGCTTGATTCTGGCCATGACCGTCTCACCGAACTTCACCACTTATCCAGAGTACCTGCTTCCCTGCACTGCCTCGTACGGGGTGACTCCAGAAATTGCACGAAATCTGTTGAGAATAAACACTGCATGTTTCCAACTCCAACAGTGCAATGCTGAATCCGTTCTCACACGCACACCTGCCGATGCCTCCAGGTCAGACAAGATTGTATTGGCTTGGGTCCTGACTGACTGTATTGCTTGTTCCACAGCTCCATTGCTTCTGACGACGAGCAGAATGATGAAGAAGGCAGTGTCCTGGATGATACAAAAAAACACCACCACCAGGAACCAAAAGGCAAACCCAAAGGTAAGACCAAAGCAAAAGCCAAGAGCTTGCCCAAATTCACGCCCAAGGGACCTCATCGCTCGCCCAAAGCAAAGGCCAAAGCAAAGGCCAAAGCAAAGGCCAAAGCAAAGGGCTCGCCCAAAGCCAAACGGCGATATGGAACAAAGTGGCCTTGGATGGGAGAGTATGCAACCGTCAGTGACAGGCTGAAGGCTGGCATCCTCGGCTGCAGCAAGTGCAGTGGCTCCAAAGCAGGCTGCAAAGACTGCCGGGCGCGAATGGAAACATACAAGGCATCAACTGGGCCGGATGATGTGAACTGAAGTGCGACTGTGCTGGCACAGATGCCTTGTTCTGTGTTTTGACTATTGCGGTGACCATTGCGGCATGCAGGCGAAAAAACAGCAGCGCTTGTGCTGAGTCGTTGGTCCCTGTCAAACGCGGACAATAGGGTTGATGTAGTCAAAGATTTCCGAGTTTGGAGGTATTTGGAGTGCATGCCGCAACTGTGTTTCAGCCGAGCAAGCAAGCGAGGTTCCCTGCACAGAACTGCTACCGATGCGCCACTTACACGTGCCTAAGTATGATGAGCTCAACCTTGGTGACTCGGTGGCAGTCATCACATGGGCCTCGAGCTTCCTGCCCCTCTACAAGGCGCACGACAAGGTTTTCTCCCGAATCGTGACATTGTTCGAGAACAAGGAGAACGTCCCGAAGTCAATGGAAGACTTCAAGTCTTGGATTCTCATCATCCATCCGAACAGCGATGAGCATATCAAGAAAAATATTCTGGTGGAAGGCCGCTGCAGGCGTGGATGGAAAGAGATGTTCGCGTTCCTGCTCTGAAGGCGTGGCTCCAGAATTGGGAACACGTGCTAGGGGATCACATATTCCTCATGGAGCGAGGCATCGGCAATGCAATCAGAGACCTGGCTGTCAAGATTTGACACCTCCGGTTCTGATCTACGACGTTCAAAGGTGCCCGGTGGAAGAGTCGCGCTGGCCGATCCCCCAGTTCCACTTTGGAAACTGGTTCATCCTTTGGGGCTGGCTTGAGACGACGTTGCTGGATGACCCAAACATCCGCCCAGGCATGGATGACAATGCCTCGTTTGATCGTGGTTGACATGGGTGATGAAGCCGCTCCGGAGAAAGCCGTTGAGTGTGTCGTCGCCGGAGATGTGGACATGTTGGACAAGATCATGCCCATGGACTATTTCACTGGCAACCTTGTGTGGTTCCATGCGACGAGCCCCGCCGAAGCTAAGCACTTACCCAACCCATACGACACGTCCAACATGCTTCACAAGGGCACCGGCACCGATGACGACGCGATGGACACCTGAGGTTTCAAGTTTCAAGAGTTTTGATTGCAGACCAGAATTGGAAAACAATACAAATTGACATTTGAACTTGTCCGGGCTGGCTGGCTGGCTAAACGGTTGCTTGCTTGGCTCCCATTGGGGGTACATTCCGCTTGCCATCTCTGAAGATTTTTCTCAGACTCAACATTGGGCGACAGGTGGCCCTGTGCTTGCGCAGAGCTCCATATCCTTAGCACAGTAGCTTGTTCCCTGTTGCTGCCATGCCGATCAGAACGATCAGGAAGGCGCAGAACGACGGCCCTTGGGATCCCCAGCGCCGCGAGGCCGCGCGGCGCTGGGAGAAGTCCACGGAAGTGAGAGTTCCTGGTTGGGGCAACCTCTTGCCCAAGTACTACCCGATCATGCGGTGAATGACGCTCGAAGGCTTCCCTGACTTACCGCCTATGGGCAACCATGGCTACACGGTCAACCTACCAAAGTATGACGTCAAGATGAAGGCGGCCTTCAATCGAAGCGGGCTAGGAGGGAGCTTCGCGGCGACGAAGAAGGGAGGGGCCACCGTGTCCTACACGTTCTGCAGAAACGATAAACTCCACATCCAGGCAACGTGGGACATGACCATCTATGACAGTCTGGGTGGCTTCCCTCCCCGCAAGCCCAAGGAAGAGGACGGTGACAGCGATGCGTCCACGTTGACTTGGGGGCACTTCAGTCCGGATGGCGAGACCGCCTGTTCTTCAGAAGCATCGGCAACGTCGACAAGACCCTCCACGCCAGCGTCCACAGCTTTCGAGGACCTCTTCAAAAGCATCAACGACAACCAGATTCCGCCTGCCGAAGACAAGAAGGGCAAGAACATGCAGGTCAAGGGCAGGAAGGTCAAGAACAAGAAGACTGAGGACAAGAAGCCCATGAAATCCATCAGCAAGCTGAAGAAGCACAAGAAGAACAAGAAGAACCAGAAGAACAAAGATCCCCAGGCCCAGGGCTCGGACCGCCCTTCTGAGGAGTTCAGTAACCGAGCGGCGCCTGAGGACATTCTCACTGTCCTGGATAGTGCGCTGCCGCCGCACGAAATCTTTTGCTAAAGGTGTTGTTTGGCGATGGAGCTGCCGGGTGGAAACTGAGAGGGCGACTCAGGCCATCTTAGGGGCTTGGTGGCCAGGTCCACCGAGCAAAAGTATGCTAGGAGACTCAACATTGAACTTTAAATGTTGTGTTTGCTTTTGCATAGTTGTGCTCGACAACACTCTCTCATGGGGAGCAGCTCACTTGCCATTGCGGCGCCAGCTTCGATAAAACCGCGTTGCTGCCCGGTCTTGCACTTGTTTATTCGCCACCTTGGAGCAATCTTGAATGAAAGGCCCCGAGATACCAAAAAAACAAGGCCCCCAAACTAGTTTTGCCATTCTATGTGGCATAGGGCACAATCCTAGAACTTGATTTACCGGGAGCATCCCTGGGCCCACTCAAAGCTCCGCAATAAATAATCATCTAACTCCGGCAACAACCTTGCAACTCGGCAAGTCGACTTTCAGGATTGGCCAGCTGTCAGAACCGCAGCTGTGAGGCCTGCAGAAAAATATGATTGAGAAATCAATGCAATGCCCCAGCAACTGGTATCCGCAGAAACCTTAAAACAACCCCAAAACAAGGCCCCCCCCCCCCCGCAGCGCAAGTTTGATCACAAGAATTTACGACTTGTGTTTGCTCACCGCCCATGGATTCGGTCAATGCCAAGACAGAGTTGGAGGACCTTCAGGAGCGCCACCGTGAACTGACTCTGCGCCTCGGTATTCTCAAAGATCTCCGAATGGCTCTGAAGGAAATTCATGACCTGCTGCGCCGTTCTGTGGAGGCAGCTGACAAGGCAGAGACGAAAATCCGGGATTTTCACGTGGTCTTTGGACACCGGGCGGATGCGCTCTTGGCGCCGCAGGACGACGAGCCCGACTTCCTGAACAAACTTCACACAGCGTCCAATATCATCAATAACCTGTCATTCCAAATCTCTTGCGATGCAGATGAGGACGTGGAGCGCGAACAGGACAAGGTTGCGGAAGAATTGGACGGAGTTTGCCGCAGACCAGCTGAGCTCAATGAGCCAGCTGCGCCTGTGCAAAAACGCTGAGCCCAACGAAGCAGCTGCGCCCGCGCAGATGCTTTTAGGAAGACTGTTTTCGTGTTTTGCAGTGCTTGGCTAGCCCGGCGCGGAAAAAAGGCGTGCCACCACTTTTGCTTTTTGGCAGGCGCCCGTTGACATCAATAATAACAGCGTGTGTATGTTGAAAAAAATTGAAACAATAGGCGTACTCAACAACAGGGCATGGTTGGCAGAGATTCCTGCTTGTTCGTGGAAGGCCATGAGGTCGTCATTAAGTTCTCCTGTGCTTGGTACCCTTGATGCGGCTCGAGCGCAGACTGCAAGTACGCCCGCAGCAACTGGCATGACTATGGCTTCCTTGCGGGCGCGTCAGAAACGCACTTGACAAAACCGGATTACAACTTGCTGATCTTGATGTCATTGCTGTTCCTGCGTGGGATGTCATTGTCAATGCTGGCAAGAGGGCGTGGGAAGGTGTGTTCTACCGCTTCCGCGTGGCCTTGAAAGCCTTTGAACAGCGCCGGCAGTTGCTTTCCTTCTCTATTCCACGTCCATTGAGCTGGCATCGGCGCAGAACAGCAACAAGATCACAACAGGATACCCTCCGATACCTTGAGGATGATGCTGTAAGTCCTCGGTCGTTCGCGCTTCCACCTCGGGAACTTTCTTCTTCGGTCTTAGCAGCCCATGAGTCCGGCTGTTGGAGCCAGTTTGCCTGTGCAAGCACAGGCAACTTATACAATTAAAATAGTTTGTGACACAGTCTTAGTCGTGGCGCTATGGACCCTTGGAAAAAAGGTGTGAGCGCTCGCGTCATTTAGGGTGACCCTGGAACAGGCACTTGCTTCACACGGCTGGTGGCGCAAAACATTGGAATTGCCAACAAAATCGTGTACTCAAAAAAGGGCGGGCTAACAGAAATTCCACACTCAAAATCATGACAAAGTTGGCTTGTTTTTTCGGCCTCCTTTTGGGCCAACAAAAAAGACCAAAAAGACCGAGCCTTAAACACAACCCAGTCAAGGCCAAGGCGGAGTGCATCAAGCCCAAGATCAGTAGCAAGAAGCGAGCAAGGTCTATCGAGTCTGCAGGGCCTACGGACTCCGACCGCGAGGCCCTCTTCGCTTCCTCGCCTACGGTGCCTGGCAGCCCTCCAGAAGCAGCGCCTGGTGATGATTGGGGCCTTCCACATCCGGACTCCGACAGCCCCGCAGACGTGCATCGGCCCGTGCAGCTGCGGAACCTGCTGCAGCTCCCCCTCTTGAGCCTGCGGATGCGGACGAGGAGGATGCCCCTGCTCAAGAGGTGGGCAAGTGGACAACTGAGCAGATCACCACCCTCGTGCAGTCCAAGCAAGACCCCAAGGCGCGTCCCAGCTGGGCAGTGGTCGCCCGCCGCGCGGGGAAGACGGTTCAGGAGGCCAAGAACAAGCGGGCAGCCCTCCAACCTCTTTAGCTGCTTTGTCTACAGCAAGCCCCTGAGAGCCCCGCATTACCTTACCCTTCTTTTTCTCACTCTGTTCCTTTGGTTTTTCGCTGTGGTTCCCTTTGCACCTTGGGTATGCTGTTTTGGATCAGACGCCCCCAGCATTGCTGGGGGCTGTGTGTGTGGAAACCCTGTTCAGAAGGGAAGCTCAGAGAAGGCAGGGGGGCCGTCCGCATGCCTTGATCGACGGCCCAACGAACAGGGTCAAGGCAATGCGCTGACATCCGGAGGGATGCTTCCGGACGTACCTGCGTACCCCTGGTTCCCTCAAAAGGAGCTGTTGTTTCGTTGTTTTGTTCTTGCCAAGAATGGCAAATGCGGGGCGTTGGCCCAATCCGTTTTCCGCAGTCCAGCATTTCGACGAGGGAGCCTGAGTTGATAAGGAATCAAGTGTGTGCGTGCGCGTGTGCGTGCCCGTGTGCGTGCGCGTGTGCGTGTGTGCGAGCGCGCGCCTGCGTCCGGATGCGCGCTTGAGCAAGAGCGCGCGCGCAAGCGCAGTCGGCGTGCGCGAGCGCGCGCGTGTGGTGTATATTTGCGCGTGCGTGCCTGTGCCGGGCGTGCGTGTGTGCGCGCGTGGGTATGTGTGTGTGTGTGGGCGGGTGGGTAGATAGGTGTCGCTGTACATGTTTGTCCTCCCAAGTTGCGAAGTAAAGCCGAAAAGGCTTGTGCCTCCTGGCGCGCGCGTGCACGTGTGTGCGTGTATGCACGCGACCCCGAACAATACCGAAACATTCACGGAACCTCCCCAAGCCCATCAGGGGTTCACGCGCACGCAGTCTGTTTATACGTTTCCTTGACGTGAATTGGCCAGCCGCAATCAGAACAAATCTTCCTCTAGCTCAAGTTCAGATTCGCCCGACAGCTGTGCAGATTAAAACAATCCCACTGAGCAAAGCCGATGCTGCCAGTTTTTCGCTTCCCTTCACTTCTGTTTCGTCCTGATTCCTTTTCTCCTCTTCCCTTCTCTCCTCTTCCTTATGCTCACTGTGATTGCGCTGTGCTGCTCAGAGCGACGGGTGGTTCAAGACAGGAAAGTTGCAGGTCACCATAAGCATAGCAGCTCTAGGGAGCCGTCCAGTGTAAGAGGAAAATGAACAAACATCGGCAACATTCGACAGCCAGCAGCCGCAAACGCCAGGCCGCAGCATGTTGTCCAGCGAGGTTGCTAGGACGTAGTTTCGGTGATGCGTGGCAGAAGCAACTGCAATCGCTCGCTGAGCAGGCGGTGAGCCGCTGGCCGTGCCCGGCGACGGCTCCGTCCCTGCAGGCAGCCGCAGGAGTGTGCTTGCGCGCGCTGGAGTGGCTGCGGGCAGCGCTGTCCGGGCCGCGGTCGAAACTGCTTGTCTACCAGAGACCGCTGAAGAATTGCAACAGCATCAGCGGTTTCTGCTGCGGCATGGCGTCGTCTTGGGTGCCGGGGTCTCAGAAGCACGCTATGGAGCAAGATGGTTGCTGCCGTGCGCAAGCCTGAAATGCTGGATTCCGTGCATCATGGAACCAGCGCGTAGCTCTGGGCATTCACGCAAAAGTTCGATTTCGATGCCATCGTGTGGAGCGGCCAGGCAGATGCGAACGTCTGCGCTCGCAGTCAGACAAGGCTGACGGATGCAGACGAACGAGCAGCTGCGGCGTTGGCAAAGTCCAGCTGGGTGCCTGGAGCTCCATCACAGGTCTTCCAAGAAGCATTGGGGTGTGTCCGGGCAGCAGGAAGCAATCAGCAACGCCATACTTGTTGTTCAGGAAGATGGGGATGCGGACCGCCCATGTGCTAATGGTCACCTCCAAAGCGAAAGTCCTTGGCGCAGCGGCTGAACTGGATCTGGTCAATGTGGTAGCCGATGAACTCGAGGTGGGAGACACAGGCGAGAAAGGTCTGGTAGCCAGCCAAGCAGGACGATGCTCCAGGATCCAACATGACAGCATCCGGCCGTTCGGATCCGAACTGGTCGATCAGCAGGTTGGCCATCATCGAGGATCCATCCTCGATGGCGGGGCGCTTGTTCGGATTGGGCGTAGAACGGAACGAAGCTGCTTGTGGTGGAGGGCATGCGCTGGCCCAATGGCCAGATCCACCGCAGCGTATGCACTGCGTTGCACTCGCAGCTCGGGACTTGGCCTGTGAAGGCTTGCCCTTGCTCGAAGGCTTGCCACCGGACGTTTTCCTCGTCCTTGAGCTTCGGAAGCAACAGCTGGTTCACCTTGTTGTCCTTCCCGAAGAGCAACTACTACAGGAAGAAAACCACGCGACAGGCGAAGCTCCTCAAACCTCTTGCTGGCGTCCACGTCGGCGCTGTGGACCTGATCATACTCCTCAACTGCCCAAGAGGCAGGATCGGCGCTCATGTAGGTGCAGTCTCCAATTTCATCAGCTTCGTAGAAGGCGGGGTCGCAGTACTCCTCGGGCTAATCTTGCTCTTCCCAGTATTCATCGTGCTGGTAGTACATAGGATCCTCCTCGGGCGAGTCGGCAAAGCCCTTCTAGTCCTCGTAGGTGCCTTCTAGTCCTTCTAGCCCTTCTAGTCCTAATAACCATGCTGCTGGCAGCGTCCTCGAACCGATCGTAGGTGTTGTGCTTGTGGCCGGGGCGCTTGTAGTCTTGACCAAGGATGTAGTAGAAGGCCTTGACGGTGGTGTCGCGGTCCGTGGCCTTGTTGGCGTGGGCGGTGATGAGGCGTACCTGTTCACGGGTAAGGCTGGCACGCCGAAGAAGATGCCAGCCAACAATTGTGGAGGGGAGGTCAACACTGTGCTTGGCAACCGTGCGCAGGGCCTCGTCGTGCTCTGTGACATAGCTCAGGAGGGTCTGACCTGCCCGGCGCTGAACCTAGTTGAAGGAGCCATCTGAATCAGACGTCAGCTCCGCACGTACTGGTCCAGCAACTTCAGGATCTTCTCGAAGGTGTCATCAGCCTCGATCTGGGCATCCTCCAGCTGTTCCACAACTTTCCAGGCGGTGCCGGTGAGAGAGCCGAGGAGGTTGTAGACCGGCTCCTTTAGACCGCCTCCTTCTCTCTCTTCGTTACCACCATCTTCTTGTTGTACAAAGCTATCCTCTTCCGCCACTTTCGGAAGTCATTGGGTTGACCGCTGAACAGGGCAACGCAGCTATCCCTTGTAGTGGCCACATCCGTGGACGGGGGGCTCATAGAGCTTTGTGAAGGGGAGGAGGATGCCATGAAGATACCTAGGTCGCTGTCCGGGAGGTTGCTGCACTGCCGGTTCTGCCGAGGATGCCAAAGTGACCCGCAGTCTGGATGCCGAAGAGCGGCTCCTCTGCCAATATCACTTCGTTGCCAGGGCCCACGAGGCCCCAGGCTGAAGACAAGGTAGAGCACCAAAGCGCCAGCGCACCTTTCTCTGCGTAGCCAGTGGGCGAAGCAAAGTCCCACTGCGGGGTGATTTGGGCCAGGGGCCACGGCGCCTGAGTGTACACCTGATCATGCGGCGCCTGATTCACAGCACATTATACGAAAGACACAGTGATGCATTAAAGCCAGCAACTGGAACAACAGCTTATGTGCGTATAAAAGCCATGCGTTCCGCTTATGAGCTTGGGCAGAGCCTCAAAGTTTTTCCGGGTTTCAGACACATCCCTTGCACTCAAAGTTGCGCGCTCGTTTTTTCAGACAGCTTGCAAGTCATGGCATTTGCACGCGCATTTTCTTCGACAATGCTTTCGATGGTGGGCTGCAGGGTGACGGCAATGCATTGATTGAGCTCACCCGGCAAGCTTTTGAACGCAGACGCCAGCTCATTATTGTCACCCGAGCAGAGGGGGGCGACAAGGAGATCGACAACCTGAATGGCCCACGCGCCATTGCACCCCAGCAAGACGGCAAGCGCGCTGAAGACTTCCTGTGGTCAAAACACCTCGCCCGTCAACACCTGAATAGGACAGTGACAACAAAGTTCAAAAAGCAGGCAAGAAGGCATGCAAGATCTCTGCGAGTTTACTCTGCACCTTCCCTACGCATGCCCCTACGCACTCACTCAGCACTCTTCCTATGCGTGTCCCTATGCGCTCACTCAGCACTCTTCCTTTGCATGCCCTTATGCGCTCACCCAGCACTCTTCCTATGCATGCCCTTACGCACTCACTCGGCACTCTTCCTATGCATGCCCCTATGCACTCACTCAGCACTCTTCCTATGCATGCCCCTCTTCCTATTCATGCCCCTATGCGCTCACTCGGCACTCTTCCTGTGCATGCCCCTATGCGCTCACTCGGCACTCTTCCTATGCATGCCCCTACGCACTCATTCAGCACTCTTCCTATGCATGCCCCTTTGCACTCACTCGGCACTCTTCCTATGCGTGCACCTATGCATTCGCTTTGCGCTCTTCCTACGCATGTCCCTACGCACTCATTCAGCACTCTTCCTATGCATGCCCCTTTGCACTCACTCGGCACTCTTCCTATGCATGCCCCTATGCAATTAATGTCTACTTGTCCTATGCACTTCAGCTGTGCAGAACGCACCGATTTTACCGGAAAAACCCTTCGCAATGCTTTCGGGAAAAAGCGGCAAGATGTTTCTGTTGAGCTCATGAGGGAGTGGTGAGCCCAGATGCCACCCAGATGCGCGATGAGCTTGGTGGGTGGAGCCCCAGCATCATGAGCCTTTACACGTGTGGCTATCTCATTCTCGATGAGGCGCCGCCCACACGAGGACACGAGGCAGGTGGTGTTAGTCGAACACTGCGCAAACCTGATGATAGGTCTGTTGCGTAGGGCTTAGCCTTGAAGAAACAACATCGGGTCTTTTCAACGAAGAGGACACTTGTCAGGCACCACACAAACCAAAGCTGTTTGGGTGAGAGTGTTGCGGCACAGGGCAATGGGCGCTAGACATGTTCATGCAACAAATGTGTTCTCAGTGACTGGCCTTCGCTATCAACTTGCGAGGCAGTTCGTTGCCTGATATCATTGTCCTTTAAGCTTTTCCTTTGCTAGATGCCCTCACGTAATCTCTTAATCTCCTTCCTTAACGCCGTCTTGGTTCTGCAAGTTACTTCTCAGGCCTTCGTTTGTTGCGTGACGACGCGTTTGCCCAGCTTGACAGCGTCCATGCCGCAGAGTTTGCTCAAAACGGCTTGTGGCAAGACATCGGGGCGGACGCACGCATGCAGAATTTCCAAAGACTTGTGCAATATGTTTTTGATTTCGTCCAAAATCAAGATCAGACACCAAGTTTACCAAAATCACGCCCTGAGCTTAGAATAATGTGAGCTCTTCTGCAGTCGGGACTTGAGTGTGGGGATAGTTTTGCCATGAAGCGGAGGCACCAAGTGCGTATCAAGACATGGATGGCGCTGGTCTTTGTTTTGGTGAAGTTGATGGGGGCCTTTGTGCCACCACCGCAGGTTGGGGATGGACATGCAGTTTCAAGACACGGTTGCGTTTATTATTCTGTTATAAAGACATTTTTTAAATTTGGTGTGTCTTGAATGGATTCATGCAAAGTGCGTAGTTTGTTTCTCTTTCATCCGCAGGTGGCATCAGCGAGACTGCGGGGCCTCATTGAGCGTCCTCAATTTATTGGGTCTAGCATTGAAACTTTGCTGTTTGGTAATTTTTCTACTTGGTCAGACAGAAAAAACATTCTTGCATATTTTTGGTTTTATATTGCATTGTATATTTTTCACTCCTCAATCTTTGCCCTCGAGGTGAAAGAGGATTTGCGCCCACGCTCGACCCATTGCAGAGCTTTGGACGTGAAGGTCTGGCAAGTCATTGTTTCTGCTTCGGGTCTTGTTGTAGCGACAACACAGGCAGTGCGGGCATTCAAAGCCTCTTCCGAGGGCAAAATCCGAGCAGCAGTGGCAAAGGCCATGAAACCTTTTGAACCCAGCAGGCCGCAAGACGAGGTCATCCAAAGGCCAGTGATGGGAACTATCCAGAAACGCATTGAGAGCTGGCAACAACATGCGACCATCATTGGGGGTCGCTATCAGTCCGGCAAGTCGGTGGCAACAGAAGAAGCCTTGCGCGGGGTGCGAGGTGTTGTTCGATTCACTATCGGAAGTGCCGATTGGGCAGATCGGATGTGCAAGCAACTGGGAGTAGATGACGAAGGGCTGTTCAAAGAGGTCATGCGGCGAGTGCGCGAGAAGCTCAAGGACTTCCCCAACAACCTCACCAAGTTTCCAATCCTTCTTCTTGAAGTCCCTCGTACAACCACCGAAGGACTGGCTGGACAAAATATGTTTTTTCAGTTTTCTAGCGATGCTGTAACGCATTTTGCCCTAGTCTTTTTGTTTCCGTTCCGCTTGCCGAGGCATCAACTTAATCTCTTCTACTGCGAAGGATGTGGCGACGGACAAAATCGGAAGTGCCATTCATGCCCCCCGGCTTCAATGCTAAATTCAAAGGCTTCAAACAAAACCATGTTGAGTGAATGTAGTTACGTCCAATTATCCTTTGTCCAAGGTGATTGTATCAGCCTCCTCGGCGGCAGTGGCGCTGGCTTTCGATGCTGGTGGAACTGCAAGACAGGAAGACATTTGGGTTGCTGACTTGACGGAGGAAGAAACGAAGGAGTTTTTGGCACTGCATGGGCATGAGAACAAGTGGGAAGACTTCGTGGATGCTTGTGCTTCAGCTCAATACAACAACATGTTGATTGATGAAGGTGTGCTTGCTGCGTTCAAGCGTTTTTTCGGGGGGGACTTTGAGTTCATTTCAGGTGGCTTCCGGATTGGCGACTTGGTGAAGGCCTGTGAGAATCTGAAGCGCCTGGCTTGAACAAATGATGATTTACTTTTTCGGTGTTCAAAACCTCTCAGGGATATGTGTTGTGTATCTCTTGAACTAAGGAAAGGAATGCCATTGGATGACACGAAGCAAGAGTATCAGCGAGTTGCCGATGATGAAGTGCGACGCTTCATGGAGCTTCAAGTGCACCCCAAGGTCACGGGGCGCGAGATGGTGAAAGAGCTCCTGACGGCTTATCCGGCAGGTATTTGAATGTTGTAAACGGCTTTGGCATCCTTCCAAGGGAGCTTGCCGAACTAATTCGCAACAGGAATTGTCATGCAGTGTATTTTCACCCTATCAAGAAGCGCTTCTTTTTTGCTTCCAAATTGCATAAGGAAGCCGCTGAAGCGCAACTGGCAAATCCATGACCGATCTTTTGCGAAAATGGACGGAAGACTTCAGCTCGTTCTTGCTTGTGCATTTGTTCCAGCCCCGTAAACACAACGCACGCATAGTATCAGATGTATCAGCTATGTGAGATGGTGTATTTTGAAATCCCATTCAAGGATAGACGATTCTGGCATGCTGAGCCAAATCCATGCACCTGCACTTCAACATTTCCGAAATCGGGGTGTGTTTGCGTTTGATTCGCTTTACCTTTTGTTCGTGTTTTTTTGGTTCTGAAGATGAACAAGAAGGGCTGCGAGTTGTGTCCCCCAGCTCGTGGCTTTCTTCAAGGCCTTGTCCACGAAGCAGATCCTGGAGTTTCGCGCGCAATGAAACCCGACATGGACCTTGGAGTCTTTGCAGCTTGGCTGCTGTTTTTTTTGGCCAGGTGAGTCGTGACATGAGGTTCGCGAGGATCATGACTTCTGAAAGACCAGAAAGAGCCTCAACCCCCAGTTCAATACTATACCCCGCCCCAGCTCCCACAGCAACATGTACACAAAACACCACAAAAGACACCTAACAACAAACCATCACATCAGCAGCCATGAACCCGATGAACCGAAGGCACCAAGTGCGTGTCAAGCCATGGATGGTGCTGGTTGGTGACTTCAGTCTGATGAAGTTGATGGGAGCGTTTGTGCCACCACCACAGGTCAAGGACTTGAACATGTCAAGTTGGTTCCCAACTTTTGTGCTCAGATGACCACACCCTTTGTGTTTCAGATAAAGACATTTTGATGTTTTATGTTTTGGTCTTGCAGATGGCTACGTCATTTGGAGGTGGTTCCAGTGAGATGCCCACCACGCCTTGGGGCATGCAGCGTTGGGCATGTGGTTGGCTCATGCATCATGGCAGCCCCAGCCTATGCCTCTGACACGTCAGGGCTGGATTTTCAACAATTCGTTGAAGAGTTTGCGGGAAAGAAGGACTTCTTCGCCGCCTTGGCCAGCGCCACTCTTTCAGTGGCGGGGACTGCAGTTGCAGTGGCTCAATTGGATCGAGCAAAGCGCTCGGCGGACGAGGCATTCAAAGCCTCTCCAGAAGGCAAAATCCAAGAAGCGCTGGCAAAGGCCATGGAGCTTTTTGAACCCAGCAGGCTGCAAGACGAGGTCATCCAAAGGCCAGTGATGGAAACTATCCGGAAACGCATTGAGAGCTGGCAACAACATGCGACCATCATTGGGGGTCGCTATCAGTCCGGCAAGTCGGTGGCAACAGAAGAAGCCTTGCGCGGGGTGCGAGGTGTTGTTCGATTCACCATCAGAAGTGCCGATTGGGCAGATCGGATGTGCAAGCAACTGGGAGTAGTTACGAAGGGCTGTTCAAAGAGGTCATGCGGCGAGTGCGCGAGAAGCTCAAGGACTTCCCCAACAACCTCACCAAGTTTCCAATCCTTCTTCTTGAAGTCCCTCGTACAACCACCGAAGGACTGGCTGGACAAAATATGTTTTTTTCAGTTTTCTAGCGATGCTGTAACGCATTTTGCCCTAGTCTTTTTGTTTCCGTTCCGCTTGCCGAGGCATCAACTTAATCTCTTCTACTGCGAAGGATGTGGCGACGGACAAAATCGGAAGTGCCATTCATGCCCCCCGGCTTCAATGCTAAATTCAAAGGCTTCAAACAAAACCATGTTGAGTGAATGTAGTTACGTCCAATTATCCTTTGTCCAAGGTGATTGTACCAGCCTCCTCGGCGGCAGTGGCGCTGGCTTTCGATGCTGGTGGAACTGAAAGACAGGAAGACATTTGGGTTGCTGACTTGACGGAGGAGGAAGCGAAGGAGTTTTTGGCACTGCATGGGCATGAGAACAAGTGGGAAGACTTCGTGGATGCTTGTGCTTCAGCTCAATACAACAACATGTTGATTGATGAAGGTGTGCTTGCTGCGTTCAAGCGTTTTTTCGGGGGGGACTTTGAGTTCATTTCAGGTGGCTTCCGGATTGGCGACTTGGCGAAGGCCTGTGAGAATCTGAAGCGCCTGGCTTGAACGAATGATGATTTACTTTTTCGGCGTTCAAAACCTCTCAGGGATATGTGTTGTGTATCTGTTGAACTAAGGAAAGGAATGTCATTGGACGACACGAAGCAAGAATGTCAGCGAGTTGCTGATGATGAAGTGCGAGGCTTCATGGAGCTTCAAGTGCACCCCAAGGTCACGGGGCGCGAGATGGTGAAAGAGCTCCTGACGGCTTATCCGGCAGGTATTTTGAATGTTGTAAATGGCATCCGCATCCTTCCAAGGGAGGTTGCCGAACTAATTCGCAACAAGAGTTGTCCTGCTGTGTATTTTCACCCTATCAAGAAGCGCTTCTTTTTTGCTTCCACATTGCATAAGAAAGCCGCTGAAGCGCAACTGGCAAATCCATGACCGATCTTTTGCGAAAATGGTCGGAAGACTTCAGCTCCTTCGCTGTCTTGCTTGTGCATGTTTTCCAGCCCCATCCACGCAACGCATGCATAGTGGCAGCTATGTGAGATGGTGCATTTTTTAATCCCATTCAAGGATATTCGCAAATAGGTCAGAAGACGATTCAGGCATGCTGATCCAAATCTATGCACCTGCACTTCAACATTTCCGAAAACGGGTGTGCTTCTGTTTGATTTGTTTTTCCCTTTTTCCTTTTTTCTCTTGAAGATGAAAAAGAAGGGCTGTGAGTTGTGTCCCCCGGCTCGTGACTTTCTTCAAGGCATTGTCCACGAAGCAGATCCTGAAGCTTCGCGAGCAATGAAACCCGACATGGACCTTGGAGTCTTTGCAGCTTGGCTGCTGTTTTTTTGGCCAGGTGAGTCGTGACATGAGGTTCGCGAGGATCATGACTTCTGAAAGACCAGAAAGAGCCTCAACCCCCAGTTCAATACTATACCCCGCCCCATCTCCCACAGCAACATGTACACCAAACACCACAAAAAACCTAGCAAGAAACCATCACATCAACGTCATTAACACCCCAACGGCATAATGTACAGAAGCATGTGCATAGATTCAGCACAGAAGCCTACAACAAAACACCAGCAACACTCAGCCAACCTAGACAATGTGTAAAATAATGTTTACAATACTAAGAAATATTATGGAGTAAAAGTGCATGGAGTGGTGTTGGCACACTCCTTGTTGTTGGCCCACTCCATGTTGTAGCCATGAACCCGATGAACCAAAGGCACCAAAAGCGTGTCAAGCCATGGATGGTGCTGGTTGGTGGCTTCAGTCTGGTGAAGTTGATGGGAGCCTTCGTGCCACCACCACAGGTCAAGGACATGAAAATCATGTCAACTTGGTTCCTAACTCCTGTGGTTATGCGTTTGTGCGTAAGAAAAGGCCAGTTTGATGTTTCATGTTTTCGTCTTGCAGATGGCTATGTCATTTGGAGGCGGTTCCAGTGAGATGCCCACCACGCCTTGGGGCACGCGGCATTGGGCATGTGGTTGGCTCATGCATCATGGCAGCCCCAGCCTATGCCTCTGACACGTCGGGAAGGGATTTTCAACAATTCGTTGACGACGTTGGGCGAAACCGCGACTTCTTCATTAGCGTGGCAAGTGCAGCCTTCGCATTTGGGCAATTGGTGGCGGCGTTCAAAGCCTCTCCAGAAGGCAAAATCCAAGAAGCGCTGGCAAAGACCATGGAGCCTTTTGAACCCAGCAGGCCGCAAGACGAGGTTATCCAAAGGCCAGTGATGGAAACTCTCCGGCAACGCATTGCGAGCTGGCAACAACATGCGACCATCATTGGGGGTCGGTACCAGTCAGGAAAGTCTGTGGCAACAGAAGAAGCCTTGCGCGGGGTGCGAGGTGTTGTTCGATTCACCATCAGAAGTGCCGATTGGGCAGATCGGATGTGCAAGCAACTGGGAGTAGATGACGAAGGGCTGTTCAAAGAGGTCATGCGGCGAGTGCCCGAGAAGCTCAAAGACTTCCCCAACAACCTCACCAAGTTTCCAATCCTTCTTCTTGAAGTCCCTCGTACAACCACCGAAGGACTGGCTGGACAAAATATGTTTTTTCAGTTTTCTAGCGATGCTGTAACGCATTTTGCCCTAGTCTGTTTGTTTCCGTTCCGCTCGCCGAGGCATCAACTTAATCTCTTCTACTGCGAAGGATGTGGCGACGGACAAAATCGGAAGTGCCATTCATGCCCCCCGGCTTCAATGCTAAATTCAAATGCTTCAAACAAAACCATGTTGAGTGAATGTAGTTCCGTCCAATTATCCTTTGTCCAAGGTGATTGTATCAGCCTCCTCGGCAGCAGTGGCGCTGGCTTTCGATGCTGGTGGAACTGAAAGACAGGAAGATATTTGGGTTGGCGACTTGACGGAGGAGGAAGCGAAAGAGTTTTTGGCACTGCATGGGCATGAGAAGAATTGGAAAGACTTCGTGGATGCTTGTGTTTCGGCTCAATACAACAACATGTTGGGTCTTGTAAAACGCAGGGCGAGCGATGGCCGTAAAGCCAACATGTTGATTGACTAAGGTGTGTTTGCCGCGGTCGAGTTTTTTGGGGGGGACTTAAACCAGAGTTCATTTCAGGTGGCTTGCGGATTGGCGACTTGGTGAAGGCCTGTGAGAATCTGAAGTGCCTGGCTTGAACGGATGATGATTTATTTTTTCTCTGTTTGAACCTCTTAGTTTTTTTTGTTATGTGTGTTCTTGAAGCCAAGGAAGGGAAGATCATTGAACGACACGAAGCAAGAGTATCGGCGATTTGCTACAGCAGAAGCTGTCGGCTTCATGGAGTTGCAGGTTCATCCTAAGCTCAACGGACGCCAGATGTCGCAAGAGCTCCTCAAAGTTTATCCTGAAGGCATGCCAGAGGTTTTCAACAGCATTCGCATCCTCCCTCGGGAGCTTGCCGAACTATTTCGCAACAAGAGTTGTCCTGCTGTGTATTTTCACCCTATCAAGAAGCGCTTCTTTTTTGCTTCCACATTGCATAAGAAAGCCGCTGAAGCGCAACTGGCAAATCCATGACCGATCTTTTGCGAAAATGGTCGGAAGACTTCAGCTCCTTCGCTGTCTTGCTTGTGCATGTTTCCAGCCCCATACACGCAACGCATGCATAGTGGCAGCTATGTGAGATGGTGCATTTTTTAATCCCATTCAAGGATATTCGCAAATAGGTCAGAAGACGATTCAGGCATGCTGATCCAAATCTATGCACCTGCACTTCAACATTTCCGAAAATGGGTGTGCTTCTGTTTGATTTGTTTTTCCCTTTTTCCTTTTTTCTCTTGAGGATGAAAAAGAAGGGCTGCGAGGTGTGTCCCCCAACTCGTGGCTTTAATCAAGGCGTTGTCCACGAAGCAGATCCTGAAGCTTCGCGCGCAATGAAACCCGACATGGACCTTGGAGTCTTTGCAGCTTGGCTGCTGTTTTTTTTGACCAGGTGAGTCGTGACATGAGGTTCGCGAGGATCATGACTTCTGAAAGACCAGAAAGAGCCTCAACCCCCAGTTCAATACTATACCCCGCCCCATCTCCCACAGCAACATGTACACCAAACACCACAAAAAACCTAGCAAGAAACCATCACATCAACATCATCAACAACTCCAACAGCATACTTGTACAGAAGCATGTGCATAGATTCAGCACAGAAGCCTACAACAAAACACCTCACCAAAACTCAGCCAACCTAGACAATGTGTAAAATAATGTTTACAATACTAAGAAATATTATGGAGTAAAAGTGCATGGAGTGGTGTTGGCACACTCCTTGTTGTAGCCATGAACCCGATGAACCAAAGGCACCAAAAGCGTGTCAAGCCATGGATGGTGCTGGTTGGTGGCTCAGTCTGGTGAAGTTGATGGGAGCCTTCGTGCCACCACCACAGGTCAAGGACATGAAAATCATGTCAACTTGGTTCCTAACTCCTGTGGTTATGCGTTTGTGCGTAAGAAAAGGCCAGTTTGATGTTTCATGTTTTCGTCTTGCAGATGGCTATGTCATTTGGAGGCGGTTCCAGTGAGATGCCCACCACGCCTTGGGGCACGCGGCATTGGGCATGTGGTTGGCTCATGCGTCATGGCAGCCCCAGCCTATGCCTCTGACACGTCGGGAAGGGATTTTCAACAATTCGTTGACGACGTTGGGCGAAACCGCGACTTCTTCATTAGCGTGGCAAGTGCAGCCTTCGCATATGGGCAATTGTGCGGCGTCAAAGGCCTCGCCTGAAGGCAAAATCAAGAAGCGCTGGCCACTAAAGACCAAGGAGCCTTTTGAACAAGCAGGTCCGCCAAGACGAGGTAATCCCAAAGGCCAGTGATTGGAATCTCTCGGCATACGCATTTGCGAGGCTGGCAACAACTTGCGCCATTCATTGGGGGACGGTACAGTCATGGAAAGTCTGTGGCAACAGAAGAAGCCTTGCGCGGGGTGCGAGGTGTTGTTCGATTCACCATCAGAAGTGCCGATTGGGCAGATCGGATGTGCAGGCAACTGGGAGTAGATGACGAAGGGCTGTTCAAAGAGGTCATGCGGCGAGTGCCCGAGAAGCTCAAGGACTTCCCCAACAACCTCACCAAGTTTCCAATCCTTCTTCTTGAAGTCCCTCGTACAACCACCGAAGGACTGGCTGGACAAAATATGTTTTTTCAGTTTTCTAGCGATGCTGTAACGCATGTTGCCCTATAGTCTGTTTGTTTCCGTTCCGCTCGCCGAGGCATCAACTTAATCTCTTCTACTGCAAAGGATGTGGCGACGGACAAAATCGGAAGTGCGATTCATGCCCCCCAGCTTCAATGCTAAATTCAAAGGCTTCAAACAAAACCATGTTGAGTGAATGTAGTTCCGTCCAATTATCCTTTGTCCAAGGTGATTGTATCAGCCTCCTCGGCAGCAGTGGCGCTGGCTTTCGATGCTGGTGGAACTGAAAGACAGGAAGACATTTGGGTTGGCGACTTGACGGAGGAGGAAGCGAAAGAGTTTTTGGCACTGCATGGGCATGAGAAGAATTGGAAAGACTTCGTGGATGCTTGTGCTTCAGCTCAATACAACAACATGTTGATTGATGAAGGTGTGCTTGCTGCGTTCAAGCGTTTTTTCGGGGGGGGACTTTGAGTTCATTTCAGGTGGCTTCCGGATTGGCGACTTGGCGAAGGCCTGTGAGAATCTGAAGCGCCTGGCTTGAACGGATGATGATTTACTTTTTCGGTGTTTGAACCTCGTATTTGTTTTTGTTGTGCGTGTTCTTGAAAGCCAAGGAAGGGAATATCATTGAACGACACGAAGCAAGAGTATCGGCGATGTGCTACAGCAGAAGCTGTCGGCTTCATGGAGTTGCAGGTTCATCCTAAGCTCAACGGACGCCAGATGTCGCAAGAGCTCCTCAAAGTTTATCCTGAAGGCATGCCAGAGGTTTTCAACAGCATTCGCATCCTCCCTCGGGAGCTTGCCGAACTAATTCGCAACAAGAGTTGTCATGCTGTGTACTTTCACCTTATCAAGAAGCGCTTCTTTTTTGCTTCCAAATTGCATAAGGAAGCCGCTGAAGCGCAATTGGCAAATCCATGACCGATCTTTTGCGAAAATGGTCGGAAGACTTCAGCTCCTTCGCTGTCTTGCTTGTGCATGTTTTCCAGCCCCATACACGCAACGCTGCATTTTTTTCATTTTTTTACCCCCCCCAAAAACAAAAACCCACACTGGAGCTATGTGAGATGGTGTATTTTGAAGAAACCCATTCAAGGCTTTTTTTTTTTCGCCAAATAGGTCAGAAGACGATCAGCATGCTGATCCAAATTCTAGGACTGCACTTCAACCTTTCCCGAAAACGGGTGTGCTTTATGTTTGATTGTTTTCCTTTTTCATTTTTTCTCTTGAGGGATGAAAATGAAGGGCTGCGAGTTGTGTCCCCAATCGTGGCTATGCAGGAAGCATTGTCCACGAAAAAGGGGTAAAAGGGGGGGGGGGCATAGGTCACAAAAAAACTCCCCTGGGGGGGGAGTTTCGCGCGCAATGAAACCCGACATGGACCTTGGAGTCTTTGCAGCTTGGCTGCTGTTTTTTTGGCCAGGTGAGTCGTGACATGAGGTTCGCGAGGATCATGACTTCTGAAAGACCAGAAAGAGCCTCAACCCCCAGTTCAATACTATACCCCGCCCCATCTCCCACAGCAACATGTACACCAAACACCACAAACAACCTAGCAAGAAACCATCACATCAACGTCATTAACACCCCAACGGCATACTTGTACAGAAGCATGTGCATAGATTCAGCACAGAAGCCTACAACAAAACACCAGCAACACTCAGCCCACCTAGACAATGTGTAAAATAATGTTTACAATACTAAGAAATATTATGGAGTAAAAGTGCATGGAGTGGTGTTGGCACACTCCTTGTTGTAGCCATGAACCCGATGAACCACAGGCACCAAAAGCGTGTCAAGCCATGGATGGTGCTGGTTGGTGGCTTCAGTCTGGTGAAGTTGATGGGAGCCTTCGTGCCACCACCACAGGTCAAGGACATGAACATCATGTCAACTTGGTTCCTAACTCCTGTGGTTATGCGTTTGTGCGTAAGAAAAGGCCAGTTTGATGTTTCATGTTTTCGTCTTGCAGATGGCTATGTCATTTGGAGGCGGTTCCAGTGAGATGCCCACCACGCCTTGGGGCACGCGGCATTGGGCATGTGGTTGGCTCATGCATCATGGCAGCCCCAGCCTATGCCTCTGACACGTCGGGAAGGGATTTGCAACAATTCGTTGACGACGTTGGGCGAAACCGCGACTTCTTCATTAGCGTGGCAAGTGCAGCCTTCGCATTTGGGCAATTGGTGGCGGCGTTCAACCCCTCTCCAGAAGGCAAAATCCAAGAAGCGCTGGCAAAGACCATGGAGCCTTTTGAACCCAGCAGGCCGCAAGACGAGGTCATCCAAAGGCCAGTGATGGAAACTCTCCGGCAACGCATTGCGAGCTGGCAACAACATGCGACCATCATTGGGGGTCGGTACCAGTCAGGCAAGTCTGTGGCAACAGAAGAAGCCTTGCGCGGGGTGCGAGGTGTTGTGCGATGCACCATCGAGAGTTCCGATTGGAAGAGGATGATGTTCGAGGAACTTAAAGTGGAAGACGGTGGATTGTTCACAGAGGTCATGCGCCGAGCGCGCGAGAAGCTCAAGGACTTTCCCGACAACCTCACCAAGTTTCCAATCCTTCTTCTTGAAGTCCCTCGTACAACCACCGAAGGACTGGCTGGACAAAATATGTTTTTTCAGTTTTCTAGCGATGCTGTAACGCATTTTGCCCTAGTCTTTTTGTTTCCGTTCCGCTTGCCGAGGCATCAACTTAATCTCTTCTACTGCGAAGGATGTGGCGACGGACAAAATCGGAAGTGCCATTCATGCCCCCGGCTTCAATGCTAAATTCAAAGGCTTCAAACAAAACCATGTTGAGTGAATGTAGTTACGTCCAATTATCCTTTGTTGTTCCAAGGTCGCCCTGGAAGCCTCCTCGGCAGCTTGGCTCTGGCTTTCGATGTGTGGAACTGAAAGAACAGGACGACATTTGGGTTGCTGACCTTGACGGAGGAGGAAGCGAAGGAGTTTTTGGCACTGCATGGGCATGAGAAGAATTGGAAAGACTTCGTGGATGCTTGTGCTTCAGCTCAATACAACAACATGTTGATTGATGAAGGTGTGCTTGCTGCGTTCAAGCGTTTTTTTCGGGGGGGACTTTGAGTTCATTTCAGGTGGCTTCCGGATTGGCGACTTGGCGAAGGCCTGTGAGAATCTGAAGCGCCTGGCTTGAACGAATGATGATTTACTTTTTCGGTGTTTGAACCTCGTATTTGTTTTTGTTGTGCGTGTTCTTGAAAGCCAAGGAAGGGAATATCATTGAACGACACGAAGCAAGAGTATCGGCGATTTGCTACAGCAGAAGCTGTCGGCTTCATGGAGTTGCAGGTTCATCCTAAGCTCAACGGACGCCAGATGTCGCAAGAGCTCCTCAATGTTTATCCTGAAGGCATGCCAGAGGTTTTCAACAGCATTCGCATCCTCCCTCGGGAGCTTGCCGCGCTAATTCGCAACAAGAGTTGTCATGCTGTGTATTTTCACCCTATCAAGAAGCGCTTCTTTTTTGCTTCCACATTGCATAAGGAAGCCGCTGAAGCGCAACTGGCAAATCCATGACCGATCTTTTGCGAAATGGACGGAAGACTTCAGCTCCTTCGCTGTCTTGCTTGTGCATGTTTTCCAGCCCCGTAAGCACAACGCATGCATAGTGTCAGCTATGTGAGATGGTGCATTTTGAAATCCCATTCACAGATATTCGCAAATAGGCAAAAAGATGATTCAGGCATGCTGATCCAAATCTATGCACCTGCACTTCAACATTTCCGAAATCGGGTGTGTTTATGTTTGATTTGCTTTACCCTTTTTTCGTTTTTTCCTGAAGATGAACAAGAAGGGCTGTGAGTTGTGTCCCCCGGCTCGTGACTTTCTTCAAGGCATTGTCTACGAAGCAGATCCTGGAGATTCGCAAATCTGCAATGAAACCAGGCATGGACCTTGAGTCGTGACATGAGGTTCGCGAGGATCATGACTTCTGAAAGACCTGAAAAAGCCTCAACCCCCAGTTCAATACTATACCCCGCCCCATCTCCCACAGCAACATGTACACCAAACACCACAAAAAACCTAGCAAGAAACCATCACATCAACATCATCAACAACTCCAACAGCATACTTGTACAGAAGCATGTGCATAGATTCAGCACAGAAGCCTACAACAAAACACCTCACCAAAACTCAGCCAACCTAGACAATGTGTAAAATAATTGAAAAAAGACTAAGGAAGATTGGATGGAGTAAAACTGCATGGAGTGGTGTTGGCACACTCCTTGTTGTAGCCATGAACCGAAGGCACCAAGTGCGTGTCAAGCCATGGATGGTGCTGGTCGGTGGCTTCAGTCTGATGAAGTTGATGGGGGCCTTTGTGCCACCACAGGTGAAGGAAATGAACATATGTCAAACTAGGTTCCTATTTGTGATTATGAGTTTGCGCTTGAGAAAAAGGCCAGTTTTGATGTTTCATGTTGTTGGTCTTGCGATGGCTATGTCATTTGGTGGTGTGGTTTGGCATGCAATCAGTAAGTATTTTTTTTTGGTTTTTTTTATTTAGTACTGTCTTCCAAGGCGTGGATGATGCGGCCTTGGCTCAGCCTGCACGTTGGACGACAGGTCTGGGTGAGGTAAAAGGGGCTGTTTGGGCGGCGGTGTGGGCGGGGGCTGGATTTGGGCCGGGCCATAGGCGTGCGTGTTGGTGCGCCGTCGTGCTCTTCTGATACACCCTCGTATGGTTCTTTGTGTCATGTGTTCTTGCTCTGCAAAACCTGTATACTTTCAACCACACTCAAGCATTACTTCAATCTTCCTCGTCCTCTTGGTCACCTGCGTGGGTTTCCCTGTGCTTTGGGGCTAAGGGCATTGTTTTAAGGGTGGGTTTCTTGTGTCGAGAAGCCCGGTTTTTCCCCCTTTTGGGATCTTGGGTAACGGGGTTTCCCAGGTTTCTCCAGGTTATCAGCCGTAGGCCTCGGCCTACGCTGGTGACCGGGCTACTGTCGTGGCCCAATGGAGTCATCGAGCTCTCCGATGACGAGTTTGCAGGATGAGGACGGGGCGGGGGTTGCCTTGCCGGCCCCCCGCCCCTCAACGGAGCTGGACTTCTTGGACGAGCCTTCCACTGGAGACAGGTCCGGATCCCCAGCCGGGATTCGAAGATCCTGTGGAGTCTGCATCAGGTGCGATCGACGAGGAGTGGATCCTACGCCAGATGCTGCACGGGGCTGCTTCGAATGCTGGGGTTGGGGGTCATGAGGGTTTGGTGGATTGCGTGAGTCATGATGGGTTGGTTGATGCTCTTGGTGAATTGAGAGAGAGTCATGACGGGCATGCAAGAGATTCAGTACTGGGACTTCTGGATGATCCCATTGAGAATCCGACTCTTGTCGAGTCGAGACGTGAGCTTCTGGACGACCCCATTGAGGGCCCGACCGCTGCCAGGTCAGGCGGACGCGGATTTGAGGTGTCAGTGCATGAGGAGTTGGCCAGGGGATCTATGTCGAATCCCACTGGCAGAGCTGTGGGTCATGTGGATGGAGGCCACGTGGACGACCCCATTGAGACGGTGTGACCGAGATCCCCTGGGGGAGGTGTCTCTGCCGGACCTCTTCACAGATGGCAGCCATTACGGACGAGGGCCACCTGGACGATAGTTTTCACCGAGTTGGAGCGGCTTTCCAGTAACTGGCTCTGCTGGCGGTGCATCACTGGACGTGTACTCCATTGACTGGGGATCTATTCCGTCGAGTTTTAGAGGGATGGAACTGCTCGGGACTTCCACTTCCAGGAGGGATCATGTCGAGACCTCGCTGGGGGAAGTGCGGGAGATTTTAGGACGGTGATGCAGGAGACCAGTCCATGGCGACTGGGCCCACTGACCTGGAGATCTTCGGCAGGCCGCCCTTCGGACTTGACGAGGTGTCAGTACCGAGCCACTCTGGTGTCTTGTCTCTGTTGGACAGGCCGGATGGTGAGGGAGCGTTGCATGTTGGTGCCAACTCTGTAGGTGAACCAACGGCCCACAGGTCCCTGGCGGACTGGCCGCGCTTTGCAGTTCCTCATGACGGAGCCTGAGGCCACTGGGGAGGGAGCGTCAGGCGAAGCATCGGGAGAATGTGACCGGTTTGGGCCTGGGGACACGGGAGTGCATGAGCGCGAGATTGACTTGCAAACAGTGGTTGTGCGCACCAGCAGCGGTTTTAACGCAACAGACACGAGTTTTAAACGAGGCACGAATTTGCCTGGTGGAAGAGGGGCGTCAGAAGGCGCTAGGCCCAGAGATGACACTGGCGCCACCTCAACCGGAGAAGCGAGAGCTCAGGGTGAGCCAAGTGTGAGAGGGGCGTCAGAAGGCGCTAGGCCCAGGGATGGTACTGGCACCGCCTCAACAGGAAGTGTGAGAGGCCGAGAAGAGAATGGTGTGGAGGGAGCCAACCGGCCCCGCGAACTGAAAAGGAGAGCAGAGTCCGTGCCTTGAGCCGGATCTGGGAGTGGTGCCATGTCTGATGGAGGGTACTGTTGGTGCTCCAGAGGGCGCACACGGAACTGCCCTTGGCGGCGGGCCCGGTACTCAATACAGTCTTGTAGGTGACGGTCTGCCCTCAGGTTCTGCCATGTCGGGAGATCGGGCGCAGCAGGAGCAGTCTGGAGGTCCTCTGCCGGGACTTGCTTTCACATAGGGACGCCGGAGTTCTTCTCCGTCCACACACCAGTGACTGAGGGAGGCTGTGCTGGCATGCCGCCCGCAGCTGAGCCTCTCCCAGAGATCCCGCCGTTTCCAAAGTTCAAGCTTAAGCCGGGTGAACAGGCTGTCAATGTCGACGACCTGTTCCGGAGGCATCTTTAGGAGTTGGAGCAGCAGGATGACGACAGGCTCATGGCGGCCGTCGAACAGCGCAGCAGGCAGCGTGCAGGAGGAGAAAAGTCTGGCCCTTCTGATGAGCCTTCCACTGTCCCGGCCGACCCCTGTCAGGTTGCCGCGGCGGTGTTTTTCTTTGCATAGCTCATCTCTGACAGCCCCATGCTACTGAACCCGGAGGAGAAAGGGAACGACTCGGATGCTATTCCGGCTGCGCAGGTTTTCAGAACTCCCAGCGAGATCCCAGAGGCCAACATCGACAGTGAGCATCACTAAGACATGGCCGGACGTTCTCGACGGAGTGGATGTTCCCATAGCCTCGTCTTCCGAGGCTGCGTCAGGTCCTCGTCATGTCCCCCGTCGGGGGAGAGACTTCGCAGGTCGCGGGAGCTACAGAAGACGGAGATCGACTCTGACGGCGATGACTCGATGGGTCGAGCAGTTGTTGGCGCTTCCCCCAGTCAGGGAAGTCAGTCCCAAGGTGAGCATGGAAGTGGCCAAGCTGGGGGTGCGTCTGCCGCGCGACCCATGCAGGACTCCACAGTGCAGACGGAGCTCACCAGTGGGGACATCTCCACAATCCATCAGCTCATCGGGAAGCTCTCCGGCCGGATGCCCAGCTTCGAGGTACTGTGCTGGGCATTGATGAGGTTGAGAAGAAAGCTCATGCCCGTGTGGATGTGGCTGAGGCCAGTGCCAAGAAAGCTTTGCTGGAGAGATCCACCGCAATTGTGAAGGGAACCAAAGCATGCATCGACGCGGTGAGCAAGGAAAGCCGCGACCATGTTGACTCCCACCTCCTTGACGCTGAGCGTAGGGCCGCGGAGCGTTTTGACGCCGGGAGGAAGGATGCGGCAATGAAGCTGGCTGCCGTGGCGAAGCGGTGCATGGAAAGCTTCGAGCGTTCGAGGGGAACGTCAAGGTCATGTGCAATGATCTGAGGTCTTCAATGTCGAGGATCTCGGTCATTGAGGAGAAGGTCGCCTCTGCCTCTGATGGCAAAAGTCCCGCTAGCGGAAGCGCCCCTGTCGATGGCGCGACCCGTGATGCAGTGCTCAAGTTGAGGAAGCTTGTGGCCGAGATCGGGGACAGAGTGACTAGGTCTGAGAATGCGATCGCCAAAGACAAGCTCGATCTTCTGAAGCTCAGGGAGGTGGTCGGAACCGCGCTCAAGAAGCAAAAGAGCGAAGTTGAGACGGTCATGTCGTCGCAGGAGAGTGCGAAGCGAAAGGAGGAGGGATCTCTGACTCGATGCTTTTGAGGGACATTGAAGTGAATAATTAGAAAATGAAAGAAATAACAGTCTTTCATTAATAGGTCAAAAAAAAAATAGTAGAAATTTATAAGGCTAAGACCGATTCTAACTATCTATAAGGAAAGAGCCCAAAACAAGGGAATATTCTACCCGGTTTTTGGACTTATAACACATCAATGAAAGGGAAAAGGGAGAGTTAATATATAAATAAAAATTTTTTAAAAAACAAAACCTGTGACATACAAATGAGAGAAAAGTACACCCCCGGTTTATGGGATTCGCTAGTCAGCTGCTGAGCGTAGAGGGTCCTGTGAGGGAAGGTTGAGGAGATGTCTAAATGCCTCAGGGAGAGTGCGGAGCACAGGAAGGTTTCTGAGTCGGAGATCTCCTCACGGGTAAGGTCAATTGCACGAAGGTCCGAGAATGCTGAGGAGCAGGCCACCGAGTTGCACGAGAAGGTCAATCCGTTGCTTGTCGCAGCGGCCTCTCGGAACGAAGTGTCTGAGGCGAACGATCGATCCTCTGCTTCCCATCACGGTGGTCATGCCGACCCCGAGGAAGGAGGCGAAGGTCGTAGGGAGAGGAGGCGCGAATCCGGCAAGGGCTCGTGTGGTGGCCAATCCCGTCGTGATCGTCCATGGAGAAACACGGGTGCTGCGGGTGTACCTCCTAGTAATCGTGATGACTCGCCTAGCCCCGAAGTTGGCAAGGGCGAGAGGAAGGGAAGTGAAGGCGAAAGGCCTGCCCGTTGTCCTTATGAAGCTGTAATGGGAGAAATCCATCCCAACGCCGTGCACATATGTGAGTCTTGTCAGGCCGACGTGTGCAATCAATGTTACAGCTCATGGGACAGGATGTGCCTCGGTTGCAAGCGACATGGCCCACGTTGGCGGGAAACACATCACTTCCCCAACACCGCCCCGGCTGAAGAAGGCGGAACGGGGGCACCTCCGAGGCGCTGCGCGATGGAGGGGATCCAAGGCAATGTGCATAGTACCCCGCACCACGAGTGCAAGAAGTGTGAGAAAGTGGTCTGTGGGCCTTGCTACGACGGATGGTCGCGGATGTGCGTTCCTTGCATGATGGCTACTGATATGTGCAGTTGCTGCGGATCAGAAGGTCTTGTCGACCACTGCTGCAGATGCAGGCGTCTGTTCTGCGCGGAACAGCTCGCTGGAGATCTTGACATCGCATTGGCGAAGAAGCGCATGGTGTCGATATCGGGGACGAGAGCATCTGTTTCACGTGCATTAAGATTGGCGTCGACAAATGCAAGAAGGCCAAGTGGCATGACCCCTCTGCCCCTTCCGGGCGAGGTGGTTCTTCTCCTGGCCCCGGCCCAGGCGGACAGCAATTTGCCGTTTGCGGGGACTCGACCTTCCACCCCTTCAAAGGGACAAGGGACTCCGAGATCCAGTGGATGGCGCCGCCGGTCCGATGGGTCAATCCCGAGCGGAAGATCAACCTCCTTCGGAAAGAAGTGCAAGGACGGTTCCGTACGCGGACGCTACGAACCCGACAGCTGGCCGTCCTGCCGATGGCTGCGGGGGGAATACGTTTGCTGGTCATCCTGCCGACGGTTTTGCCAGCACTCCGTTTGCTGGCCGTCCTGCCGACGGCGGAGCGAACAATCCCTTTACTGGCCGGTATGCCGACGGCAAGGCAGCGGGATCCTTCAATCTTGAACCCGAGAGCATTAGGGAAAGCCTGAATGCTCCGAGGAAGTGCCCCGGGTGCAACGTTCCGGTAGCGCCGGGGTACATCTTCAAGAACTGCAACATGTGCAGAGTGAGCGTGTGCGAGGGTTGCTTTCTACCGACGTCCACCTGTGCAAAGTGCAATGCGATCATGAATCGGACAGGGGCTCTGCCGGCCTCGGTGTTCGGTCCAACCGCTGGGCAGATGGGGCGGACTGGTCTTCCCACTGAAGCCAGCCGATGCAGGGACATCACTCTTGATCCGGAGCCCACGGCGCCGACGCTCTCGCGGTGGTTGACGGCGCTCAAGGAGGCCGCTAGGAACGCCTTTACCTATGATTGCACGTGCGCGCTCTCGTGGGTCAGGTCGGCTGAGGATGCAAAATCACTTGACGACTTGGACGTGCTGTGTGACTACCCGGCCCTAGATGCCAGGTTGAGCTCTGCGCTCCGAGCCTGCACCCAGTCTCCAGCATTGAAGTCAAGGATTGACAAGCTGACCGCTGAGTCGCACAAGAATCCTCGCCTGGGCTTCCCTAGCACGAAGATCATTTGGTGCATCATTGACCACCACAGGGCAAGTGTGCAGGGTCAAGAGACGGTCCTCATTGGGGAGCTCTTCGGAATGAAGATGCCGGCCATCACCCAGGGAGGCGGGGAAAGCCAATTGGAGAAGTTCCTTAACTCCTGGGAGGTGGTGGAAGCGCAGATTCAGGTTCCCATTGACGAGCAGCTGAAATTGCACATTTTCTTTCAGCAGGTTAGTAAGGTACCGTCTCCTGCACAACATCAATACGTGGGAGCAAGCTGAAGGAGATCCGAAGGTGCAGAACTTTAAGTGGTTGCTAAGGGTCGCTCGAGAAGCGGTGAATAGGTGGAGGATGAAGACCAACCAAGCTGCACTCCAGCAGAATCTTGACGCAAGGTCACCTTCTGCCGGAAGGAGTCAGAAAAGTCCGGCTGCTCCTGGAACAGTTCGTCGGCCATCTCCACTCGCGGGTACGGGTATGGACCGAAGGCAGTCGCCTGGCGCGACGTCCAAATCCGTCCCGCCCGCGAGCAGAAATCTTGACACTCAGAAGGACCAGAGGAGCCCGAGGCAGAAGGATGACAGGAGGAGGTCCTCGTCTCCTACGCCTACCACACGGAAGCCTGAGGTCTGCCGCAAGTTCGTCAGGGGAAGTTGCCGATATGGTAAGGACTGTCGGAGGTCTCACGACCTCTCGTTGACGAGGTCCCGATCTCCCAGCATTCCCGGATACTGCAACGAGTGGGTTGAGAAAGAAGACCTGCAAGTGGATGGAGAGATATGGCGACTGCAGGTATAAACACGAGGACCCGACGCCGGAGGAGATCCAGAAGGCTAGAGACGCCAAGAATGCGAAAGGCTCTCGGGATCCCAAAGACCGGAGCCCGAGAAATCGCACAGGCCCATTGACAGTCCCGCATGCCCGGGGACGCCTTTTTGAAAGGGTCGGGCCGGTACCCTGAGGCCACCGACAGCGTATCCTCTGTCAGGAACGCCGTCACCAATGTAGAAGGTGATCTTAAAAGGTGGACTCGCAGGGACATCGGCTCGAGGGTTTTTCAAGGGCTATTGGGGGGTTCAGCGATTGATGAGAATGGCGTGCGGAAGCCGACGTCGGCACAGGTCGCTCGACGACGAACCTGCGTTGACGGAACTGGAGCGGTCATTGAAGACTTACAGTGGGAGCCCAGAACAAGAAGATCGTTTCTCTACCGTCTCTTGCCGAGGAGGATGAACACGGTCACAGAATTCTGGTATTACCCGAGCGAAAGTCAGGCGAAGAAGTGGAGGGAGACCCATGTCGGGATCCCTGAACCTTCGAACAAGCCCGAACTCACGTTCATCGATGACCCCTTCGTTCAGCAGTTCGTGGTTGATGATGATCTTGGGACAAGGAGGCCTGGCGATAGGAGTAGGAGTGAGGCGTACAGCCACGAGCCGAGACTGCGTAATCCGAGTAGGCAAGAGAGAGTCAGGAACGTTATGCAGGCGAGGTTTAGAGCTCAATGCCTCAGAGAGTCCATCCTGATAGATGAGGAGGACGCCCCGGCCGAGGAGTCTCAGGTCCGTGGAAGAAAAATAGTCCGGGAGCCGCGGAGATCTGTCATCCCTGCGGCATCAGCTGGAGAGAGAAACATCAGGTGGTTGGTCGACACTGGCTGTCCTATCGACTTGGTGGGGATGAACGAGCTTAACGACTCCGAAAGGTATCTCATTTCGAGATCTTTTCCTGGTCACTCGTTGCGCACCGCGAACGGGATAACGGGAACGCACGGGCGAATTGATGCTTCTGCCGAGCATCTTCCCGACAGGATTGAGGCCCCCATCCTGCCCAACACTCCTGCCCTCATTTCTGTGGGGAAACGGTGCATGGAGATGGGATACTCGTTTAGATGGGACGCCGGGCAGTTGCCCGAACTGATCAGCTCGAATGGCACCGTCGCAACCCTCGAGGTGATCAATAACGTTCCTTATCTTCCGAGCGGAAAATGTATGCTTTCTGTTCCCGAGGATGAAGATGAAGAGCGAATGGTGGCTCTGCCGGCCCCAGCCGCATCTCCTGGTTATGTCCCTATCTTACACGCGGAGCCCGCCAGTAGCAGTTCGAGCAGGGATGTTCCCCCTGAGAGGGATGATCCACCACGACGCGATGCTGAAGATGCTGACCATTGGATCATGTCGGACGATGGTCAGACCGTTACGAGGCATCGCGCCGTTTCTCGTCAAGCGCTCTTCTTTGAAATAATCTTCAACTGTTTTATTATATAAACTGCCTTCCTCGTCGCTATAAACAATTTCTGGTGTGCCTTTCATTTTCTGCATCCCTTCCATTACTCCCGCTAATATGTCAGGTGGTTGTTTTGATTTAATAGGTATTACTGTAGAGTCTCTGGTAAATATATCAATTAAAACCATCCCTACTTTAAATGTTTGATTGGGTATGTCATTAATAAAAAATAAATCTAATTGAAATTCAATATATGGATGTGGAGCAATAAATGAATTGTTGCCTCTTAATTGCTTCTTCTGTTCTATGTTCTTTTGAAACCATTCTTTAACATCGTTTAAGGTTATGCTTTGTTCCTTTTGTTTAGCATCCTTATAGGTTGTTGTGATACTTCCGTATCCTGATCTATCATAATAGATTTTACTAATTATATTATTTTTATTAATATTTGCAATATTAATAAAGGTGATATTTTTTAACATTTTATTCAAAATCTTCAGCACTATTTAAATATGCTTCGTACTGTTGTTGTTTTTGGTTACTCCTATAATATTTTTATAGTAACAGTTCTATATATTTTTATATTTTTCCTAAATTTATGGTTTCAAATCCCCCGGGTCAGGGTTTTCGAATCCCCCGGGTCAGGGTTTTCGAATCCCCCGGGTCAGGGTTTTCGAATCCCCCGGGTTAGGGTTTTCGAATCCCCCGCTCTGGGGGTTTCTGCTAAACACCACCTAATTTAAGGATTTTTGGGCAAATCCCCCGGGTCAGGGTTTTCGAATCCCCCGGGTTAGGGTTTTCGAATCCCCCGCTCTGGGGGTTTCAAACCTAAAAACCCAAAAATGCACCAAATATTTATTAAAATATTTAAATTTTAATAAATATTATTTAAAATATTTAAATTTTACTGAATATTATTTATTCAACTGTTATAATTTTATATGTTTGCGCCTTATATTTTCTGGGTTTTGTATTCTGTAAATCTTCTGGTTTATTTTCATAATCAATATCTTTTAAATTAATTTCTCCATTTTCTGCCATCTTGTCTAATTTCTTTCTTCTGTGAAATCTTATAGCACTTGCCCTTTTGGTGTCCATAAAGTCCCTTTCGTGTCTCCTTCTTTGATAATATAATCTGTTATATAGTGCCAGTTGCTCCTTTATTTGCTCTATTGTCATATCTTCAGGTTTAATACTCATTGTATTATATATTATATTATATTTCTTTAAATACATTTTACAAGATTTTAAAACTATATATTTTTATTTGTAAAGTTTAATATCACTTCTCGCATAAATATTATTTAGACTTGTCTTTTTTCTTTTTCTTTTTAAAACTTCATTTTCCAAATACTCTACACGATCGATTAGTTTTGATAATGCATCCCAACTAATACAAGCCATACGATCATAACACATCGTTAAGTATTCTCCCGAATCATTTACAATATTATATTTCGGATTTGTGTATTGTTGAACATCTTGAGCAATCCATCCTAATTCAGTTTTTCTGGTTTTTTGATTCTTAACAAATGTTTTAATCTTAATGATTTTTTACCATATTTACAGTATCATCTTCTACATCTTCTATATTACCTTTCAGTCTCTTATCGCTACTTAAATTAAATCCGTTAAATGATGAAAATTGAGTATCATCCAATTGTAAATATTTAGTGCCATCAATATAACTATCAATAGTTGTTGATGCTTCTAATCTTAAAACAGCATCACTGTTCAAATGTCTCAAATTGATTTTATGAGCAATTCCAACAGTCATATCGCCGTCAATAGTCCAATCGCCTCGCAATTCGCTATTACTTCCACTATTCAAAATAATTTTATTATCGGCATATGTTGCAGATAACCCAACAACCAAATTAATAGAGTTTGAAGTGTTGCTATTCCTAATTATTAAATCATCTGTATCGACATACATTTCAGCATTGTCAATTATTAGTTTTGATGTGTTGCCAAATTGAACATTGCCACTCGGTGAATTTTGTAATAATAAAGTATTTCCTGATACAGACTGAACTTGGTTGACTTCAACTTTCTTACCAGAAACCATTGTTAAATCGCCATTTGTATATACATCACCTAATACATCAACTGGTTTATTGAAAATGGGTTTTAGATACAGCACCGTCGCACATAAAATATTGATTAGAAGAATTACTAACATCGCCAACGCTAACAGCAACAAAATTATTATGCGCCATATACAAACCTTCTGTAGCATCTGGTGTATATCTTCGTATTGAACCATTATTATTAAAATTTAAATATGAACCATTGTTAAGACTTATTGCACTGTCTGTTCCTATAAACTGAACAGCGCTTGTAAATCGAGCTTGCCCAGCACAATTTAAAACATAATTAACAACGCCAACTGCCCCTAAACCGAATCGATCTTTTATCCATACACGACCAACATTAGCATCTCCGATTTGCGTTTCCCAAACGCCTCCTGAGCTTGACATCCACATTCTACCATCTCTATTGATATTGAACTCACGATTAAACATTTGAAATGTCATTTGTAGTCCTAAATTTGGTGAAGGGGTACAGCTAAACTTATTACATATTATAGAACCAGTAGTAAGCATATTTAAATCACTATGTAAAGTTGCATTATCGCTAAAATTAATAGCACCTGCTACTGATTGAGCGTTAGTATCTATTTTATCTAACTTTTGTAAATCTGCTGATATTAAACTATTTATTGTGTTTGAATTTTGAGTTATTAATAAATCTTGTATATTATTATCCGATGTAATTGAAGCAAATGTATTACTGTAAGCAGTGTTAGTATTGAATAAATTAGTATCGTTTGTATATAATGTTGATACATCTGCTTAAATAGTTGTTTTTTCAGCTGTAGTCCAAGAAGCACCCGCTCCTGCTTGTAAATCTGCTATATCTGTAAGAATGGTTGTTATTGTGTTTCCGTGTCCTGTTATGTTATTAATGTTTGTGCCAATTAATGATATATGCGATGTTATTGTAGCATTTA